GTGGAGGTGGCCTGGGGCTGTCCGGCTGTCCCTGCGGGGACATCTGAGGGCCCACTGTCATCTGTGTGCCACCACCAGCTCTGCTGACCCCAGGAGCCACCAGACCCTTCTGCCCAGTGGTGAGGTGATGGCACCCATCACTTCCCACACCCCTGGTCTGTCTGTCTGTCCCCAAACCCTTCCCCTCCTGCTGGCCTCAAACCTGTCCCCAATCCCTGGCCGTGGGGACACACTGGCTCTGCTTGCAACTGGCCTTGGGGCTGTGCCCCAGAGCTGCTGGGTGGTGGGTGTTAGTGGTGGGGTGCTCCCCCCTCCCCCCCACCTGCTCTGGCTTCCTGCTGCCAAGCATTGGGATGCAGGGTGCTGCGGGGGAGGGGGAAACTGAGGCACGGGAGGTGCCGGCTGTGGTGCCCTGTCCCAGGGACGGGGCCTCTCTCGGGAGGAGACCTGGCCCTGGGCGTGGGCCGGGGGCTGCAGCAGCCCGGCATTGCAGCCCCCTGCCCTGGGCTGTCCCTGTGGCCAGGCAGCCGCTGTGCCACACGATGGTGCTGTCCTCCACCCGACCACGCCGCAGCCCTCCATCCCCCGCTCCATCCCTCCCTCCATCCCTCCTCCCCCGCCCGCCCCAGCCGGCAGCGGGAGGCTGGGGGGCCCGATGCTGTTCCCCAGGGGCTGCCCCGTTCCTCTGGAGGGGCCCTTGGCATCCTTAGGGCTGCTGTCCCGGAGGCCGGGTGGCGCTGGGGGGGCTGCTCCATCGCTTTCTGGTGTTTTCTGCCTCCCTCTACCCCCCTGCTCCCTCCCCAGCCCTGCCACCTTTCATGGCAGCACTAGATGTCGGGTTTCCCTTTGCCTCCCCACTCCCTGTGCATCCCCAGGGGTTTGAAGGCCCTTGTGCTTTGTAGGGCAGTGGGAAATTTCCACCTCCTTTTCTCAATCCATGAACTGGGCCTTTAGAAAACCCCACAAACAGGGTAAAACTCACCGCACACACACCCCCCCAATTCACACTGCCCCTCTCCTCCCAGCATCACTGCCCCTGGGATGCAGCAGGGCTGCTCCCACCCACAGGGGAGCCCCAGCCCACGTTAACATCCCCAAGGACAGCCCCAGCACAGTGTTTCTAGGGCTTTGACGTCCTCTTGGGTGAGGCCTGATGCTGTGCACTGAGCACAGTGTGTCCCTTTTGCCACCTTGGGGACCTGGCAGAGGGGCCCTGGCTGTAGGAGGGGCCCTGCAGCCACCTGCCTTTGCTGCACTGGGCGGTATGGCAGCACCCGGCCCTCCGCCGGCAGCCTTTTCTGGGGTGCTGAGCCAGCCCCTGCCTGCACCCCCCATACTTCACCCCCTATTCCATGATCCCACAAGAAGGGTCAGTGAGCAGCCCTGGGCCCGGGGCGCATGGAGGGTGCCGGCTGCCTGTGTGTGCCGCGGCGGCCTGCGTTGTGTCAGCGCTCGGCGATGCTGTTTACACATGAGAGAGGCTCAGAGGCATCCACGCCGGCAGCCAATTACCCAGTTTTGATCTTTTTTGGTGAAAAGGAAACCAGGGCTTTTCAGACATGGCCAAATTTGATAAGCTGGGGGAGGCGGGGGTGGGGACGGGTGGCTTTTCCCCCACCAGCCTCGCATGCGGGAAGGGGCTGGGGAGCGCGGGCGGCTGGGTCGTGGCCAGCCCCTGCCTGCCTGGCTGTGACGTGGTGGCCAACGTCCTCTGTGTGCCTGCACTGGCCACGGTACCGCCCCTGCGGGAGCAGGGTGTGCTGGGGGCAGCCCCATGGCGGGGGGGGAGGCAGAGGGTGGCCAGGAAGGGCTAGAAACCCCCCCATGGCTCCCCTGGGAGTGGGTTACCTGGAGTGGAGAGGGGTTGTGCTTTCAGGTTTTGTACATGCTCATCCCTGCCGCCTTCCCACTGCATTGCCCCACTGCCACAGGAAACTGGTGTGGAAAGCAGAACCTGGAGAGTGGGAATAGGCTCCCAAACAGTGCAGGAAGATAGGCTCAACCTGCCACGAGTAAACCCAGGCACATGTTTCCCAGGTTAACCATCACGGAACCCACTGCTGTGCCCCCAGCTGAGCCCAAGCGCCTGGGGCAGAGGGATGCAGGGCGGCCATGCCATGCTGTGCTCGGCAGGAGGGATGCGCTGGCTAGGGAGCATGTGGCAGAGCACCCGACAGGAGGTGCAGGTAAGAAATGGGGGAATCAGACCACAGTTCCAGTGCTGGCAGAAAATAGGCTTTTTGCCTTTATTCACAAGCAGCAATGTCCCTGCCTGGGTGGGAGCCACTGGTGCGGGGTCTGTGGTCCCCTCCACCTGCGGTGGCCGGTGGGCAGCATCGCTGCTGGTGCCACGCTGCAGGGCATGGCCCCCGTGCGGCGCGTGAGTGGCTCCAGAGAGGCCCGGGCCAAAAAGGCTTATTTTTAAGCTTGCTGGAAAAAGAACATTGTTTGGTGGGAATTAAAACTCCCCATTCTCAAAAAAGGGAAAAACAAAAAGTGCTTAATTCTGCTGGCTCCTGCCGTTGCGTAAACACAGAGCCACAGCCTGGCTGGCGAGGGGGGCCAGGAATTCATTGCTGGCATGGAGGGGGGTGGGTGCCCTCCCTGCAGCAGCCGTCATGGGATGCGAACCTGTCTCCTTCTGTGCTCCCATGATACCAGGGCCGTCCCCAGAGTCCCCACCCTGGTGGGAAGGGTTTTCCCTTGGGAGGGAAGGGGCATCGCCTGATGTGGGTGCTGAGGCCACAGAGCCTCTTCGAGGTGCCAGGGTGCCGCGGGCAGGAGGGGTGACCGGGGCGGCCACACGAGAGGCTGCACGAGCTGTCGGCAGCCCGCGGCCACGCTGTGCCTGGGTTCTGCATCAAAGGGCAGAATTATTTATATAGCCCTAATCCGGCTGTCTCAGCAGCCCTTCTGCCTCCTCGGGCGGGGAGCCGGGTGATGCTCCCGGCTCTCTGTAAAGCACGCCCTTTGGATCACAGGCGTGAGATAACAGCCAGGCTTTGGCGTCAGGAGGCAGAGCTGTGCAGGGCTGTCCTTTGGGGCTGGGGGCTGCCAGGCCAGCAGCACACGGCCTGCCCGTCCCTGGGGAGGAGGCTCACGGGG